CCACATTGCAGTTCTACCATGATACAAACTGAGTAAACATGAGGCTATTATTTGTATGAGGAAAGATCTGTGGAATTGAATGGGGATGACGAAAGATGTCGTGTGGGCGGAAGGCGCCGTTGCTAATTTCTCTCATGCATAAGTAATGCGTGCAGCGGCTGGCGGCTCATGACAGTTTGACTGCGCGTCAACAGCTTGACACACGGGACAAAGGGGGGTCGGGTGGGTGGACGGGTCCACAGGGAAAATACGGCACAAACAAAAGGAGAAAAATAAAACAAAGATGGAAAGGGAAAAAAGGAAAAGAGGTGATTACTATTCTACTAAAAAAGAATGGTGGTTTCAATCATTACTTTGGTGGCATTAACTTCTCCACCAAAGAAGTCTCAGGTATTAATTTGAAAAATGTAACATCTGCTTCTTTGCCTTGTTATTAAATTAATCCCCCCCCCTCCCCCCTTTCCATCTTTTCCAGTTCCTGTAATAAAGTTTTACGGTTCCCTGTAAGTTGAATCTGACATCAAAACACCTATCATTCTGTCTCACCTATCTTTTCTCTCTTTCCTCATCCCCTCTGGAACAACAAATTTCTAACTCTCAACTCAAATATAAGGATACCTAAAACTGTCATTACGCAATAAGCACCAAAAAAAATAACAACCCAGCACTGTACAGTGTGAAAATAGCTGCATAAAAGTAAAATGCTTCTATTCCTGCTAGACATAAGACAATAAAATCCTAAAATGAATTAAATAAAACCAGAAACAGACAATAAATCTGTAATGAAATTATAAGAATCAAAGTGCCAAGAGGTCTATAATACAATCTCTTTTCCACAAACAGCACACCGTTGCTAAGAACAGATGTTCCGTACTGACAGGCACTATTATAAGAATCAAGAACACCAAGAGTGCAAGAACACCAAGACCATAAGAGCACTAAATGAAAGTACAAGACGGAGAAAGTACTGAGCAAACACAAGGATCAACACTGAATCTGTTATATATTATATAAATTATAGACAGATACACCCTTGCCCCATGTTCTCCTCCAGAGGAAATACAGAGTCATTGAATACATTATCATAATATGTGGGATGACACAAACAAAGACAGATACATGAGTACACATAATAGTATAATAATAATAACACAATCTTTAATATGGCATAATAACTGCGAGGTTATAAAATATATGCCACAAAAGCTATGTAGAGAGTTCAGAAAAGGTACTGTTCTAATAAGCTCTAATATGCCCATACAACAACAAGCAAGACTGCAAGGTAGAGAGCTCTGATACCACTAGTTGAAATGTGTACCTGGAGATGATGTGTCCTCACGTTCTGCATAAACTGAATACAATAACATATTTATGACATGCATTATTCAAAGAGATCTTTCTCTTCTTTGATACAAACGTAACGGATGCTGGAAAAAGAAATACCACATACGAAAATTAAGAATTGATGGGAAAAAAATAGGATCTACCAACTGCACAGGCTGAAATCCCTCCCAATCAGGAAGATATTTTGATTCTCAAAAGACATAGTCCACTGAACAGATCAATAATGTCAAAAACAAAAAGAACAGAATATCTTGCAGTTAGTTACCATTTATGAGGCACATATTGCGGTCTTTTGTTCAAATATTGAAGAAGATAAAAAGAAAAAAACACATTTTTAGCATCTATATTCTATATCTAAGATTGAAACTGGCAAAAATAACAACTGGCTCTCTAAATACAATCATGGTCATCATGTAATATAAGTCAAGTCAGCTTTTTTATGTAGGTCAGTAATACCTGATAGATGAAAAAAAGCATATTTTCCAATAAATTCTTAAGACAAGTAAAAGTTAGAGACAGAGGAAAAAGGAGTGTTTTTCACATCAATCACCATAACAAAATCTTTCAGTTTTAAAAACTAGCGCATGAAAAAAACAACAAAACTCAGCTAACCTGTGGGCACAGCAATTGCTATGGTGACCGTGAAGGTCACCTCATGTCCATCGTCTGTAGCAACAGAGGAGGGAGTCCCACCCCTCCTTTTCTTCTTCTTTGCCTCAAACACAATATCTCCACTGGCTGTGCTCTTTGGTCGGCTCATGCTCTCTGGGGTGGGCACCCTGTCCATGCTCGGGGTTCTCCTGTCAGTGGTGACATCTCCTCCGTTCTCCCCCTCTACTCCCTGGACTTGCTCCGACATTTTCTAGTCTCTTATAAACTCCTTTCTAGCACCGACACCTGTGAGGCTGTAGTCCAAAACTCGGCATTGTACATCACAACCTGTGAATCATTCATAAAGAATAAAGATATACTCAAAATTGCAGCACATTTCACTGTCTATGTCGTTAATGGTCAATAAATGATTAATTTTATTTCAGGCAAGCCGGATATAAGAGACTCCTCAACTATTTTGTAAAATATTAAAGCACAATGCGATTTAAAGGGAGACAACCATGACCATGGAATTGCTGATTTAGCGAGACTGTAAAAAGACAGGATCACACAATTAAACTTAGTGGTCCCATAATTCACCAAAACTGCTAACATCACTGAAATCAAAGAAAATTTCAAAACTTCATCACAAGTATTCCTCAAGTGAAAAAGTATTCAGAATTTTCGAGAACACCGCAGCACAGATTTGTAATTGAACACTGCTAGCACCATCGCAAAAGAAACAATTTTATATTATTTGAAGAAAAAACATTGTCACTCAATGAAACATAAGAACAGTTATCAAACCCACAGCTAAAGCAATGAGCACGAATGTGCACAACCAACGGTCTTCTTGTCACCGTCTTGATTACAGCTCATCCTGCCATTCTGTGCTGCAATCCCGGTCAAAATTACGAAATGCCAGCTGACATTTTCTCCGTTCACATAACATGGGACATTTGTAACGTGAGGCACAGTTAACGGGGCTCACATGAGCACTCGGCTCAAGAAGCTTTTCCACACCCCTGTCATGCAATCCCCTCATTAGTCTTCCCAGTGATGGGGAGCCACTGCCAGGCTGTATTGTTATGGCTGTACATCTTCTCGTTTCCGGTCCTGCCTTAAGTGCAACTTGCTTAGTCAGTTGTGGCAACTACAAACTTCTCATGCAAATTTCATATTCATCACAGAGAAAACGTTGAAAACGGAAGAAAGCATGATGCACTCTAAAAGACAGCGTTATTTACATTTGTGGATAAACTTAATTGGGATCCTAAGGTCTCTAGATCTATACAATTTTTAAAAAAAACACACAGCTGAAAAGTGTGAATGCTGTAACAATTGCATTGTTGAAAAGAAAGGAAAAAAAATAGCCCTAGACAGCTCAAAGTGAAGCATAATGTACAAACATTGATATTGATAGGCCATGCATTGCACCAAATATATCGGCCCATGGTTATCATAATTTGATGGAATACTTTTAAGTACTTAAGATTCATAAAGTAAATGAAAGGGCCAATTTATTACAGATCTATCTCCAGTCTCCGAACAATTAAATGCCTTTTCCCCACCTCTCAATCTCATGCATCTTTGACTTCGCAGTTAATTATTAATAAGTTTACGCAAATGAACCTGTCGGACCATCATATTACGCGACAGAGGCTGAAAGTACCGAAAACATACAGCATTAAAAGACGCATTTCCAAGGCTACTAGATTTAGAACTAAAGATGAAATCACAATTCCATTCCAGTAAGAAAACTTACAGGCTCGAAGCATCTGCTCAGTGATTTCCAACCTTCGTAACTCCCGAGTCAATCAACAGCGAAACAGAGATCTAGCGCACAGTAGATTTCTTGTCCTTTTTCGGCATGTAAACTGGAGTACACTTACACTTCTGTTCCACAACTACGACTAATATTAGTCCAAAGACAACACAGGGTTTACAACCGTGATAAGACCGGAAAGTTCTTGTCAATATACTTACATTTCTTTCATTCCAAGCAGTTGTTTCTTTGAGAAAAGTAAAGTTAGCACTCGTCCATGAACTTCCTGTGTCTACACACCAGATCAGATAAAATTCAATAAATAGTTCTCGCTGAACTTTAAAGTATCCTTCTATACTAGACTATTGATGAGTATTCTTTGTACTTTTCAGAAACCAACATATGTGTTCAAACCTACTGTTAACTTTTATTGACAGATTTCTAACTGTCTTTATACTTTAGTAGTTTCTTCTGCGTAGTGATAATTTTCGAGGCCCGTTGCTACAACACTACGGGGTCAAAGGTGACATGGGCCTACCTCGGTTTTTGGTTCGGCGCGTTCGCTTTATAGCCTAGGCTAGGCCTAGCGAAGAAAATCTATGGCTTCTCTTGTGGCACTGCCTTCGTTTTCTATTTTATTTCTTCTATGTATCAGGTTTCGGGCTTTCAAATGTGTATGTACATATTGCAATTCTCAACTTGAAAGACTTCACTATTAAGTTAAGGTAAAAAAAAGTCCCATTTCACTGTTTTAATGCGAAAAGGAGTTGGATTGGCCTATCCTATCCTATAGTAGGCTAGTCTAACAGTTATTTCTCTGGTCTAACACTTCGCCGTTGACGCTTTGAACATGACACCAGAATACCAAAATAAAAGCTAGAGCAAAACAAAACAAAGTAAAGCAGTAAATGGTGTTTGCTACATTCTGTTGAGCGACAACTATAATACTCTCGTTTTATCCTGAGACCCGCGCATCCCTGCACGATAATGAATGAATAAAATTATAATACATAATAAAATGTTTTACCCCCCCCCCAAAAAAAAACAACAACAACTAAACAAAACAACAACAACAACAAAATAAACAACAACAACAAAATAAACAACAGTTAACAACAACAACAACAACAACAACAACAACAACAACAACAACAACAACAAAGCAAAAAACAAACACAAAAATTGCAAGAACAACATGTTTCATTACCCCCAATCGACGTCATAATATCCTTCCAGCCAAGTCACCCCCCACCCCTCTCTCTCTCTCTCTCTCTCTCTCTCTCTCTCTCTCTCTTTCTCTCTCTCTCTCTCTCTCTCTCTCTCTCTCTCTCTCTCTCTCTCTCTCTCTCTCTCTCTCTCTCTCTCTCTCTCTCTCTCTCTTCTTTTTTTGTAAGTGGGCCATATGATCGCACCGGACACATTAAATATAGGGGGGGGGGGGGGGGGCTCTCGTGGCGTATAGGTTAAGGTGTGCGCCTCTCATTCAAAGGTCCCGGGTTCGAATCCGGGTAGCGACGGGAAAAATTATTATCTAAAATTGTCTCCTTTCACCGCCTTTCCTGCTCTAACAATGTTCTGTAGTCTGCTTTCGTCCCAATTTCTACCCCCACCCCGTCACCTCCTTTGCCCCCTCCTCTGAGCTCCTGACTCTTTCTGCTTCTATTGCTACTCCTTGGCCCCTATTCTTACCGCTGTCTTTCAGCCACATCCCTGATCTCCTGGTAGAAAAAATCGACGACCTAGCCTTCTCGGACAAGGACTAAAAATCTCGAAGGTCCCGTGTAGTTGCGCACGTAAAAGATCCCTTGGTAGTCTAAAATCGATAAGAGTAGGCTTCGGCAGCGACCCGTGCAAAATTGAAAAGTGACCTAAAAATCAGGCTTGATAATATTGTGCAAAATCAAAGAAACGTAAAATTGTCTTCCCGAGTGTATGAGGAGCATCAATATTGATATAACGGACATGCATTGCATATCCAATGAATGGAGAATTTTTGTCTCTGCAATAAACAATATGATTTTAATTACGATAGTTTCAAACTAGACCGAAAACACAAATGCCACGCAAAACTTGGACTTATCATTAAATGTGCTCATTGTCATTTTGTTTAGAAGCCATTGGTTTTGTACTTATGGCATTTACTCTATTAATTGTATATATAGAGCCTAATTATCTGTCTTTTCCTCCAAAATGCCACAGAGAGTTGCAAACGAAGGGTCTGAATGTGAGCAAAGTCGCTTCTCTCAGCTGCTGTTTCATGGGACTTCTCATACCGCACCTGTAGGATTCATATTAGGACTATTCACTGGTGACCACTTATTGTCTAGTGGCACTGGCCCTGTGAGAAAGTTCTTTGCTATTTATGAAGATGTTTGCTTGAATGACATCATGACGAAAATACGGTAAGACATGACGTTCCACCACTTGCGCGATGCAGTCCACTAAACCAAGCCTTCCTGTGATTCTCAAGTTCGGCAGTTTTGTTCATTCCACACCAGACCACTCAAAACCACAGCGGTTTCCTGGCCTCTGTTCCTCATTGACAGATGATTATGTCCAAAATCTAACTAACACAGTCTATGTGCAAAAAAAAGTTTCGTACATTACATGAAACCAATGTATTGCTCTTTTCGTCTATACAGACGGTCAATTTAGCTCAAGATGGTCTCAAGGTTGTCTTCAGGCAGTTTCTTTCATGGCGAATTCTTCCTATGTTTAAAGCGCAGATTCTGTCGCAGAGCTTGCATATCAGTGACGTGGATCGAAGCTCTGTTGGCGCCTATATCCGTTGTTTTCCTTTCGTCGTTGGCGCTTCTCAGCCTGGTTGTTTCTAAGGCTGCTCTCTAACATTAAGTTCTTTCCTTTATCATTTCCCTCCATGTTCTCCTGTCCTCGGCTATTTCTTCCCAGATGCTAAAATCTACTCCAAGCTTAGATAAGCTGTTTTTGCAGGTGTCTGTGTACCTCAATTTTGGTCTTCCTCTTGGTCTCTTTCCCTAGGCAAGTTCTCAATAGAGAAGTTGCTTCGGAATCCGGTTGTCATCCATTCTCTTGACATGACCCAGCCATCTCAATCTTTTAAAACACAGGATAGTTGTCATGCTCTGGAGTCTGGAGGTTCGCCCGTTCCAACACTTCAACATTTGTAACCTTGTCATGCCACGAAGTGCCTAAGATCTTGCGGCAGCATCTGAGGTGGAAAATGTCAAGGCACTTTTCTTGCCTGCTGTACAAGGTCCATGTCTCAGATTCATAAAGGAGTGTGCTGAGGACACATGCTTCGTAATCTTGATTTTTGTTTTAATGGTTAATCTTTTGTTTTCCCATGCTCGTTTTGTCAGCCTTCCAAAAGTTGTTGATGCTTTCCCTATAATGATGTTGATCTCATAAGCAAGCGATGTAGTAGAGCTGATGGTAGACCCAAGGTAAAAGAACTTTGTCCACTGTCTCAAGTTCCTTGTCGTTTAGCCATGTGTGGCTCTGCTCTGCACCTTCTTGAGAAAGCATGACTGTTTTCTGAACACTTATGACCAAGCTGAAGACCTTGCATGCTGTTGATAGGCGGTCCATTATTGTTTGTAGGGTTGTTCACTGTGAGCAACAAGAGTAGCTGCATCGCCGAAGAGAAGGTCTCGTACTGTTGTTTTGTTGATCTTGGTCTTGGCCTGGAGTCGAGCAGGGTTGAAGAGCGACCCATGAGTTTTCCAGTGGAGGAAGACATCCCCTTGTGACTATGAAACCAACAGCTCCCAAGCAAAAGTTTAATGACCATATGAAATGTCAAGTCCAGGTTTTGCGTAGTGTTTGTGACTGCTCTGTTTTCCAATCTGTTTGAAAATATCACCGGAAGATGTTGTTCATTGTAGAGACAATAATATTTTCTTTTCATTTGATATTAAACCCATGTCCATTCCATCAGTGTTGACCACCAATGTCGATGCACCTCAACACACGTGCAAACTCAGCTGTACATGTCTTTGATTTCGCACAATTTTGCCGAGCCCGATTTTTTAAGGTCAATTTTGAGTGACCATACCTCGGCCGTCTCTTTACATAATTGAAATGTTGATGTGTCAGATGATACAGAATTTACATGTATTTAGCTATAAATGGTATGCTGCATAAGTGGGTAGTGCAAGGTTTTAACACGATTGGGTGATTACATTGCAAGTTTCTTTTGGACGCCACTGTAAATAAAATATATACAT